TGTGGTAGCTCCACGAAAATCTCTGCGTCAACAGGTGCGTAGAGGAATGCGTTCGCGACGTCGATTTGCCGCAGCTTCTTCTTCTTTGTGGCGGCGATTGCGAGGAGAATGCGTAGTGAGGTGTGGCGGCTGACCGGAGCGAAGGTTTCGGTGAAGTCGCGTCCGTGCTCTTGGTCGAAACCGCGTACGACCCAGCGCGCCTTGAATTTGTCGATGGTGCCGTCAGCCTTCGTCTTCACACGGAAGACCCATTTTCCGGTAAGGATTCTTTTGTTTCGCGCTACGCCGATGGGAACAACTTTCCACGTGTTGCGCTCCTCTAATGCCTTCAGCTCCCTGTCCATGGCTTCGCGTCGTTTTTCCTTGTGCTCCCCCCCCCCGAGCCTGCTGAACCGTCGCAGGCTCCTTAGGAATGGCGGTGCCGTGGACTGCGGTGACGAGTCCAAGGATTTGGAGTCCACTCTGTGTGTAGCGGGGGAGTGTGGTGTCCTCGGGATAAACTGCTTCGTCTCCAGCTTCTGGATCAGGTATGAAATTTGGTCCTACGCGTTCTGCTTCGTTGGTGTTGACTTCAGCGGGTGTAACGTAACCGTTGTCGGCGAAGTGGTAGTAGGCTTCGGCGTTGATGCTTTCTCGTGGGTTGTCGTCGTCCATTGGAACATCCACTGAGCAGTAGGGAAAAGGTCCGGCTTCTTCCGAGGCTCCTTCCACGGTCTTCTCGTCCCAGTCAGCTTCGTCTTCTGCCGAGGCGAAGGCTCGGTCTCCACGAAAACCATCGCTGCGGTCGGGGTTTCCTTCTTGCAAGTTGGCGAGGTAGTATCGCATGGTGAGTCCTTCGTAGAAAATGACATCACGTGCTGCCACTGTTTCCTTTGTCTCGAGATCGAAGATTTTCCACACGTTGTAATGCTTTTCGATGCCCAGGTGTAGTCCCCACTGTGCGCGTTGGGAGAATCGGCCGGCTCGTGCAGATGGGGGTCGGTACTGTACCATGCAGCCAAAAACTCGTAACATTTTTGTGCTGCCCAATTTTCCTGTCCACAGCAGGTGCGGTGATGCGTTGTTCGGGAGCGATGATGACGAGAGCAAGTTGTGCAGCATGACGGCGTGGTCCATCGCCTCGGGCCACTGGTGGCTGGGCAGATGCATGCCACGTAGCAGCTTGCGCATGGTGTTCTGCAGAGTCCTGTTCATCCTTTCTGCTACACCTTGCTGTTGATGGGCGTAGGGAAGGGAGATGAGCCGCTTGATTCCCCTCTCTGCCAAGTACTGCTTGAACCTCTGTGAGGTGTATTCTCCTCCCCCGTCTGATTGAAAGCTTTTCAGCTTAACTCCCGATTCTCGTTCTGCTACAGGAAGCCAGGCGACGAAGGCTTCGAAGGCCATGTCCTTGCTCGGAAGGTTTAAGTGCCAGACGTATCGTGTGGCGGCGTCGATGAAGGTGATGGTGTAGTTGTACGCGTTCTGTCCAGGTTCGCGGTTGTACAAGATGTCGCTGTACACCTTCTCGAGTGGCGCGTAAGCTGGTGCGCTTGGATTGTGGTGAGATACGAACGGTTGATGCGGTAAGTCAGCTTCGGGACAACTGAAGCATGTTCCGCGTGCTCGCTGAAGTTCTCTTCCGTCGGTCAGTAGAAGTGAATCTTTGTCGAGCACGCCTGCTCTTATCGTGTTGTTTAACACTGTGTTGCTTGGGTGTCCTAGCCTTGCGTGCCAGGTTCCTTCGCTGGCGCGGTGTCCGGGTGAGCACCGGTACATGTCGGAGTTGGAGTAGAAGCTGGCGGTGAAGTTGGCGCTTCGATGAACTTCTCGCGGTGCTGGCTGCAGCTGTTGCGCGGGTGTTGGTGGTGTATCGTCCACGAGGAGTGGTGCCGTTGAAGAGCCGGCGACTGGTGTTAATGTTCCTGCTACTGCTGTTGTTGTCTCTACTACTACTGTTGTTGTTGCTGCTGCTGCTGATTGTTGAATCGTCGCTAACGCCCTTGTTCTTTCTGTTTCAGGAATGGTGTGTGAGTACCAGAAGCCGCCGGGACTGAAGTCTGGATCAAGATCTGGAGGGTGGGTGCGTCCAATTGGTGAAGTTGACGATGGCGTCGCTGTCGGCGGTGCCAAGATCTGGAACGAAATCGAGAACGAAGACATTATTTTTGAGGACCGCCTTGCCGATGTAGAGTCCTCCTCTCCCGTGATACAACTTGAACTCCTGGGTGGTGCTGTCTGCTTCAAGATGGATGCCTTTCGCCATCAGTTGACTGACGCTGAGTAAGTTGTAGCCGAGGCCTTCTGCGATTAAGACCTTGGACATTTGTAGAATGACGTTCGTCTCTCGTGACTGAAGTTGAACAATTCCTTGTCGTCGTGTGCGCAGGTTCTGATTGTTGGCGACGGTGATGACTACTTCCCGTTGATGCTGGTACTCTCGTTGCACGAAGCGTCCTGAAGAACACATGTGCTGGCCGCAGCAACTGTCCAAGAACCACGTGTCCTTTCCGGATGGCTCGCCAATAGCTGCGTATGTCGGGTTTGGCTGAAGTGACTCGTGTTGAGGTGTGGCGTTGTCGATTTGCTCCTCCGGTGAGTAGTACGGGGGCGCAGAGTGCTGCTTCCGAAATTCTTCCGTGGGATCGAAGGATAGCTTTGGTGGCACGCCATTGAGGACCGAGGCCGCCAATGATGACTGTCACGAAGGCGTCTTCAGATATCGACCCTCCGCATCGAAGAAGCTTGTCGCGCAGCTCGCGACATCGGCTGATATACGCCATCCCCTTTTCTCCTGGTTTCATTTCGACTGTTGTCAGTTGCGCCATTAACCTGCTTTGGTTGACACTGTCTGTTGCTTGATACAGGCTCTTCAGGTGGCTGTATGCGAGCTCGGCGGAGTTGCCGTATCCCCGGTAAGACCGTATGTTCTGCTGCTGAGTTGGGGTGATGTTTCTCAGTAGAATCGTGTACGCCATCATTGACTGATAGGTGTACTGCTGCTTCTCATACTGTGTGCCGTTTGTTGGGTATGGCAGGGACCCGTCGAAGAAGCCAAGTATCTGCGCGCCTTCCATCATCAACTCGAATTCGAACGACCATGCGAAAAAATCATTTCCATCGAAAGGCCTTGCCGTCTGTAGCTTTAAGACGTGCGAGAACTGTGATTGAACTTGTAACGTGTCCAGTGGTTTGTCTTGTCCAGGTGAAGGCTGCGGGTGCGGCATGAAGCTGATGGACCCGCGCTCGTACGGAGCAAAGGTAGGCTGTTGCTGTTGATTTCCGCGCGCGTATGATGAGCCATCGAGACTCATGGGAGTCACTTCGTTGTTGTTGTTGCTGTTGTGTGACTGCGCAGGTGCCGACTGTTGGTGCTGCTCGTAGAAGGACATGAAGGAGAAGAATTTCTCCATCATGCTCTGGTCGAAGCTGGCAGGTTGATTCGCAGGAGTCTCAGTGGATGTTGCCCTGGGTCTTGTTGCCGTGCCTTCCTCTGTCTGCAGGCCAGAGGCAGGAGGTGGAGTAGGAGTAGTGCCAGGAGAACCGTTAGAGGAACTCCTTTCCTTCTGTGTTGCCATGTCTTGTAATGCCTCTGATGACTTGATAGTAGTGGAGTTTCCCCTGTGAGCTCTCATACCATGTTGGGCTGAGAAAAGCCCTTAGGATCTTTTGCAGGGGTAAACTCTGGTAGGAACTATGTAATAGCGGAAGCGTTAATAAAGGACTTGTGAACCACCTTGCGCTGGTATGTGAGGGCAAAGTAAGTTGATTATAGCAAAGAGATACAAGAATATATAATAGTACAAGGAATACGAAAGGATACAGTTGTAACTACTTTACTATTGCTGTTGCGGTTCGATACAGTGACGACTCGGGCAACTACTCTGTAACGAGTCAGTTGTGTGTCCTTGCTGTCGCGCTGTACTTGTCAGGTCAAAGGTCGCTGACCTTTGACTTTCGCGTAACCTCCAGCAACCTCTCAACCTCCGAGGGTTGACTCGCGGGTGCTTCGATATGGTTTACTTTGCTTCTGGTGTGGTGTTTCGACACGACAGAGGCGTTTACGACTTGTTGTTTCCAACACCTCCCATCTTCTCTCCTTCCACAGTTCCTCCTCCTCCTCACTTGCCCGCTGTGATTACCTCTAGCTTTGCTTATTATTGTGAACTCCTGCTATGCTTGCTCATTGTGCTGATTGCACCCCACTTTGGCTATGGGGGTGTGTCAGGATGTCATTATCTAGCCTGTAGTGGGGTGCTCTATAGCGGGTACAACCCAGTTAGGGTTTGCTATATGTATCCCAACTGCAGCTAGTGAAACCCCTCCTTTGCTCATTTCTCTCTTGCCTAGCTAGGGTTTACCTAGCTATGGCTCCTCGTTCTGCCTACTATTTTAACAGCAGGCGCGAGGCAGAAGTGTGCGGCAGCGGCGCGCGGCGGGGCTTCTGGGACGCTAGAGGCGACGGGGCTAGCGGGGTGCGACATGGCCAACAGGGTGCTAGGGTTGTGACGGGGCCAGTGGGGCGTGATGGGGCCAACAGGCACTTGGGGCGATGGGCCAACGGGGCACGATGGGGACAGCGGGGTGCTAGGGAGGCGATAAGACCAGCGGGGCCAGGGGGGCGATAAGACCTTCGGGGCCAGGGGGGCGATAAGACCAGCGGGGCTAGGGGGGCGCTAGGGGGCCAAAGGGGTGGCTAGGCAGGGGCCTGGGGCTGGGCATGATGGGATGGGCGCGACAGTGGGGCCTGTGAGGGCACCAGGCAGGTGAGCGGTTACTACCGTAGCTACCGGGGTAGGTGGGGCGGAAACGAAAATCTGAACCGAGCTCTGGTGCTGTGTGAAAGAGAGAATCAACTGACTAGAATGAGAGCATACAGGAGGGTGTGTGCAAACCTGTACCCTCTATAGTGCACCTCAAGCTAGCATACATACAATAGTACACAACAATATATATACTACAAATGTGCATATTGACACTTGTATCGTAGACTATTCACAACGAATGGCATGCCGTTGGCATCAAGGGAAACTTCTCTGCACATTAGTGAAGTGGATTGAAACAAAGCTTCGGCCCTGTATTGTCACACTCGCCGCTGTCTTCCCTTGAGAGAGCACCACTTCAGCCATATCCTGGTTCCACGAGGTGCGCCGCACCACAGCCCTCGTCCTGCCATTCACATTCATTCGAAACCCGGCGAGGCTCACGGACAGCTGAGCAGCAGTGGGCTTCTGGTTCACCACAAAGACGCTCACAGTGAGGTCACCAGCGTGGTAAAACCCCGCCATGCCGTGCCAGCACTTGGACGGCATCATCAGGGGCTGGCTACCTGGTCGCACCAGGCTCGTGAGCATCTTAAACATGAAATACCGCTTCGTCAGCACTGGCTTAGGAATGGGGCCTGCATACCCCGCAGGGTAGGTCCACGGAAAGCGCACGATAGCCCAGCCTATGTCCGGGTCATAGGCCATCCAGTAGACGAACGCGGAGGCGTGTAGCAAGTTCACGGCTTCCATTACCGTGCGCACCACGTACAGCGACAGGTCGTACGGGTGCCCGCCCCGCCCCATGTGCCCCGCCTCCGTCACCCACACCTCCTTGCCGAGCCGCTTTGCGATGTCGCGCACCGCGAGGTAAGCCTGCCCCGTGTACCGAGCGGGGTCCTTGGCGGGCTGTGCGGGGTCCATGTACGAGTGCACGTTGATGCGCGCCGCTGACCGCATGCCAGGCACCGACGCCAGCGCCCTGCCCGTGCTCTCCACCCAGCTGTCAAACGCCGCCACGCGCGTGCGCAGGCGCCGCGCCTTGAGCAGCTTCCCTGCTTGCGTCAGCACCCTGCCCATGGCTGCCGGGTCCACGTTGCACCCTTCCTGCCCGTTGCCCGCGGTCCAAAACCCTTCCAGCGGCTCGTTGAACGGCTCTAGCGTGTCAAACGTGATGTTCCATGTGGGGTTCTTGGCGAATTGCTCCACCACGGTAACCAGGTAGTTGGCGAACTTCCCCTCGTACTTGCGCTGCAGGTTCGTCTGGTTCCGCCCCTTCGCCCCCGCCACGTCCCCCGACACGGTCATCCACCACGGCGGGCTGTTGGAAAACGCCTCGAACACGTCTGCCCCGCGCGCGCGCGCGCCAAACAGCGCGTTCCGCTGCTGTTGGTCCGCCGTCCAGTCGAACGCGGCGGTCTCCGCGGGCCAGTACCCCGGCATGGCCTTGAGGCGCGCCTGCTGGTCGCGCGCGAACTGCGGGCTGCGCTGCGGGCTGCTCCCCCCGCCGATGTTGTAGCGCACTATGTTGAGCCCCAGGCCCTTGGTTTTGTGGAATATGGCGTCTAGTAGCACGTCCATGTTCGCGCGCGCGAACCCGCCTATGTAGTTGCCCTGCCTAGACACAAGAAAAACGGGGAGGGAGTTGGGTTTGAGGGGGCGGTTGGGGAGGGAGGAAGTGGGGGATAGGGGACGGAAAGAGATGAATGGGAGGGGAAGGAGTTAATTGAGTGCGGGAGGGAGGAGGCGGGATGGGGAGGGTTCGGGGGCATGACGATGTCGGGGGAAACGGATGGTGGGGGCGTGGATGGATGTGAGAGGGGCTGGGCGGCAGGGTCGGACGCAGTTCGGAGGGTCGGTTGTTCGCGAACAGGGGGGGGAGAAAGCACATGGAAAGATGAATGCAGCAAGTTCACCCCATGTTGGCACGCGGACTTCGAGCAGTTGCTGCGGCGCTCCGCCTACGCATCTCACTACCCGCGCCTACGCCATGCACAACGGCGCATACCCCCGCGCTGCGCGGATCCTCCGCGTGCTAGCACACACGACGGCGATCAGCGAAGCGAGAGCGCGCGGCGGCGGAGGGGACTCACCAGGCGAGGGACGTGCCCCACCCCTTCCACGTGGTGCCGATGAACGTGGGCGTCACCGTGAAATTGATGTCTCCTGCACGGTGGGGCGAAGCACGTGCGCACGCACGCACACGCGGGGAAGGGAAACACGAGTGCACACGTTCACACACGCACCCGCGGTTCACGCAAAGCTGGTAAGAAATGAAGTTCGCCATGGAGCGGCGGGGGGCTGCGGTTCTCCCGCGCGCAAGCGAAAAGGGGGCGTGACGAGCGAGCAAGAGTGGCAGCGGCGAGGGGGAGCGAGGCGGCACCTGCGAAGCTGCAGATGTCGAACATCTCGCTCGCCGGCGACAGCGATGGCGGCGGAGGCTCCCCGCCCGTCCCTTCCGCCGCGTACACGCGCCCGCCTTGCGCATCCGCGTCGCCTCCCGCGTCGCCTCCGCCATCGGGATCTCCGAGCGCAGTGTTGCCCGCGCCGTAAAGTGCGGCGGATTCTGTGGTGGAAAGAGGGTGCAGACGATGGCAGTTGAGCACGCGCGCGTGGGCGGGCGAGTGGAGGAAGGGGGAAGCCGCCGTGAGGAGGAGGAGGAGCGCGATCTGCGGTGTGGCCCACGCGAACGGCGGCGCTCGTGATGATGCGACGCGAGAGCGGCGGTGCGGGATATTTCTAGCCGTTTTGGCCCGGGTGCTGCCGGCTGTGACGCCGGCCATGACCAGTCACCAGACGCCGTCGTGCCGCGGAGGTTGCGAGGAGGGAGGAGCAAGCGAGTACGGGCGACGAAGACGACGAGCCGAACTCCACTACTTTGAGTTACGATGTTGGCGGGCTGTGGGGTGGTCGCGCGACGCAAGCCCACACGCTGCCGCGGAACTTCCGGAAAATGTGGTACGAACTAGCGTTGAGCGATGAATGTGGGTCACGTCAGCACCTTGGTGCGGTATACTTCGCTTCTAAGCAGAGAAGAATGCGAAAATTGCTGGGGTGTGGCCCCTCTTGAGTTTTCGAATCCTAGTAGCAAGCCGCGAGCTATACGGTCTCGATCTGCTGCGTGTTTTTCATTTGGCCACGGGTGCTGCTGAATTCACCCAACAAAGCTTGTCTACCACGCAGTCTGTGCAGTTTGGTCGACGGCAGCCAACCAAGGCAAATTTTGCACACGAAAATGGGCGGAGAGGAGAGGGTGCAGCGGGGGGAAGGGGAGACGCAAGGGGAGGGAACAAAAATGGTGACGACTGCTGCGACGGCGTCGCACGTGGCGACACTGTGGCAACAAAAATGAATTGCCCTCCACAGCAGGTTTCCGTCGCTCACTTGTCGGTGGGCGACGGCAACATCTCGCCACCACTTCTGTACGACGGTTACCACAGCAGGCGGAGCAGTGCGAGAGCCGACACGTTCGTTACACATGGGTGTCGTATGGTTGGTGCAGAGCAAGTGTGGTCGCTCGGTATATTACACCACCGTCTCCATTTAGGATGCAATTGAATGTCCTTGAAAATAAATACAGAACATAAGATGTATGAAACACATACACGTGCTTACAGATATGCAAACACCCAAGTGGGATTCCAGATCCATCCATATCCAGCATTTTGGCGCCTTCTATCTCTCGTGTTCCTTAGAGCACTCTCCGGTTGAAGACTAAAAGAAAACTGTTCATGCTTCCATGCTTCAATTCCCCAACCATGTCTACAGTCCAAAGACTCCACCAACACCACACATTCACCAGTTCGTGAAGAGGGGGGTAAAAAAATGTTGCCAAATAGCAGAACATGTTACAAGTATCGTAGCTTTGCCAATATCCACTCCAATTTTTGGAACTAGGATCAACAATCTGTTGCAAGCCACTATTCCAGGGTAGACTTGACCGTACACCACAACAAAGATGAGTTTAATACACATGGCAATGCCTGCATCACTGGATTGACTCGCACGCTGACCGGAAGTCCTCTAGGCACTTGGTTAGAGAATCCATCCTCTGCCGCGCTGCATCTCGCTCAGCTTGCATCTTCTTGACCGCGGCAGGTGCAGTGAACATGGCCATGACGTCAGCGTCACACCGCGCAAAGAGCGCCTCCAGCAACGACGAAGCCACACCTTCACGACTGCTCCGTGGGAGGGAATGCAAAAAGGTGGGGGTGAGAGAATGCCTGTGGTGCACAAGGTGCAGGATGGTGTGGAGTGGCAAGCAACCACGGTGCTGCAGAAGTAAATCGAGGGAGAAAAGGGGAGAGAAAGCAAGTGGATTAAGCAAGGGCAGAGAGAACGAGAGGGAGAGAGACAACAAGAGAGGCAGAGTGGAAGAGGTGGTGTGAGAGGATTGAGGGCGGGAAGAGAGGAGGATAGGGACGGAGGGAGGGACAGAGGGAGGGAGGAGGAGGGAGGGAGGAGGGAGGGAGGGAGGGAGGGAGGGAGGGAGGGAGGGAGGGAGGGGGGGGAGGGAGGGAGGGAGGGAGGAGGGAGGGAGGGAAGAGGAAGAGGGAGGAAGAGGACGAGGGAGGGATGGAAGGGGTGGGAGGGAGGGAGGGAGGGAGGGAGGGAGGGAGGGAGGGAGGGAGGGAGGGAGGGAGGGAGGGAGGGAGGGAGGAAGAGGAAGAGGGAGGGAGGGCGGGAGGGCAGAGGGAGGGAAGGAGAATGTAGGGAGGAAGCAAGTTTGAATGGAAAGGGGGTGAGAACTAGAGAGGGAGGGAGAACGGAAAGGAGGGAGGAGGAGCGTTTGGGGATGATGTGAGGGGGGAGCGTGATGTGGGTAAAGATTCTCACAAGGGCGTTTCAAAGGCTGAGAGGATGGCAAAGGGCGCATGTGAGGCAAGGCTCATCTTCATGCCTTGGAACTCCACCTCCACCATCTCCTTCACCCGACTGTACCCAGACTTGCCCCTCCCAACCCCCTCCACTGCCCTTCCTTCCCTTCCTTCCGCAATCTCCTTCCCACCACCCCGTCTATCGCCCTCTTGTCTCTTCTTACACCCCCCACCAGCGTGTGGGTCATTCAGCATGCCACTCACGCCACGCTTGCTGCCCCTGCCACTGCCCACATCACAGTCACTCTTCATTGTCGGCTCTTCTCCTCGCTCATTCCTGCTCCCTACCACTGCACCACACCCAACCGCTGCCTCCTCCCTTCCTGCACGTCCGTTCCCTGTCCCGTCCCTCCCTCCCTCCCTGCCTGCTTCTCTCCCACCGCCACCTGCCTGCCTTGCTGCTTGCCCCGTCAAGGCCCCTCCTGACCCAGCCAGGCCACTACCAGCCAGAATCAGCCGGCCACTGATCTCTGCATATTCCTTCCACTTGGCCGCTGTTGCTTGCTCCCTCGCATGCAGGTCAGGCGAGGGAGTCTCAGGCACAGTCATATGACACTCCCGCAGTGCCTGTGCATCTGCTCCCCCGCCCACGCCACCAGCACCTGCAGCACACACGGGACCAGCACCACTTTTGACTGGTGTTGTGTAGGACTCGCCCCTCGCACTGGCCATGTTGTCAGCAGCAGCACGAGTGGGATAGAGCGGTATCCGCCCATGCCGAGGCATGGCCCCCCTCTCAATCCTCCCGGCATTCTCATCTGCACCTGCTGCTGCTGCCTTTGCCACTCCACCCTCCTTCCCTGCACGTGCAGCAGCATAGGGCAGGGGCGTGTGGCTCTGGAGGTCCAGGGGTAGGTGTAGACCCGGCGGGGCAGAAGGCAGCATGGGTGCGCCCTGCACACAAGAGAAAGAGAACGAGTGGGATAGGCTGGAGCATGAGAATGGACATGACAGGCGATTCCCAGCGAAGTCCACCATACAAAGTAGACACTCACGTGACATGTCTACTGTTTATGCGAGTTTGCACAAACAGTACACACATGCGTCCATGCATTCGATACCTCACATTCCATTCCAAGCCACCGTGCATTCACCCCACACTAGAACCACGCCCTCTCACCACACTCACATGAAGCACGCCAGCAGCAGCAGAGGGCGCCAGCAGGTGGCAGGCAGCAGAGCGCACGTGGTGCTGGGCGAGTTGGCGGCAGTGCGAGGAGAGGGAGGCGAGGAAGGCGTCATAGGCGGACCGCAGAGCTGCATGGAAGCCAAGGAATGGCTCCAGTGCCTCGCACGGGGGGACCTCTGCTGCGCCTGATGCTGACGCGGACTGGTGGGCTGCGGGCGACTGGAAGAAGCCCGTGTGGTTATTTGGCTTCGCCTGGCTCTCTGAGGCATCGCACAAGGGGGCCAAAGGGGGAGGCCGGGTAAGTGTAAGAGGCGTGGAGGATTTAAAAGGAGCAGCAGGAGAAGGAGTCCACGCAGCAACAGGAGGGACCACATGGGGCATGGGCCACACTGTGGCACAGAAATCCACCCCACATTCGCCCACCTCTTCTCCACCCACACTCCCACCGTGACCCCCATGCGCCCCCAGCATACAGCCAGCCTGCCAGCCCCAGTCGCACCGGACTTGACGCGCTGCAGGGCGACGTCGAGGAGGCGGCGCAGCAGGAAGGCGATGCGCGCACACAGGGCGTCCATCAGCGGGGCGAAGCGTGCCAGCACCGCCGCCCGCGCCACCTCCGTTGCCGTTGCCGCCACCGCTGCTGATGACACACCACTGGCGCCACTTGACCCGAATGCAGCCTGCTTCGCCAGGAGGGCGTTGGCGACCTGTGCGTGGCAGGGAGGGGCAGAGTGAGGGCAGGCAGACAAGAAGAGGCCATGTGATGAAGAGATGAGATTTGTACGCACATGATGACTACAACGGTTGCCAGGAGATGGGCATAAATGGCCGAAGGAACTACAGAGGAGATGCAAGAGAGAGAAAGTGCCGGGCAGCTCTGCAAGCGCCTGGATGGGCATGCATGCACGCACACACACGCACCTTCTCGCGGGACGTGTTGGGGCAGGGCACGGCCCATGCAGCGATGCTGAACTCATGCACGACCCGCATGAGCGCTGCTCCACCATACAGCCGGAGCCCCTCGTTCACCACCCCACCCCTGCTGCCCCCACTCCCACCCGCCCCACTCCCATCACCACCCTCCTCGCCCTCCTCCTCCTCCCCCTCCTCTCCCTCTTCGCCATCCTCCCCCTTGCAGCGCCTGAGGGAGCGTGCAGCGAGCAGGAAGGCGTGGGGGGGCACGCCAGGCCAGTGGCCCACGGCGCTGGCGGCTTGCTCCTCGTGTGTGGAGAGGCCCCACTGGGACGGGTCGGGCTCCACTGCCCCGTCCAGCAGCGACAGCTGGGGCGCATGGCGTAGGGAGGGAGAGGCGAGAGGGCATGGAGTGAGGGAACGCGGGAGAGCGCAGGGTGAGGCCAATGCATGCGGTGTGAAATGCAGGCTCTCCGTTTTTTTCCCTGCCCTTTGGTTCACTGGACCTTCAGTGCCATGTGTCCTGGTATGGCGCCACGTGCCATCGTTGCATGCACCATAATGAATCACATGCGCCCATATTGATTTTACACACCTATCATCGCACTCATACGCCTCACTCACCACCATCCCCCTCTTTCCCCCCCTCGCGCCCTCCTCACCATGGCGCTAGTGGTGGCCACCACGTGCCTCATGGCCAGCCTCCTCATGGACGCCACGTCACTCGCTGCACTCAGCCGCTGCTCCACACACGCCACCTGCTCTGCCACGTCAGCACACCTCCGTTCCAGCTGCGCCAGCACGGCAGGCGCCGCGGCACTGTACCTGGTGACAAGAACAGGAAGGATGGGTGAAGGGCGAAGGTGCGGGGAAACAAGCAGGCAGTAACGAGAGGGCTAAACATAGTTCCAACAGCAAGTGCTATTGACAAAAAAGACTGCAGAAGGAGTACCTGCGCAGCAAATCAGTGTCTGTATAGCAGTGGAGTTCTCCTGCTATGAGTGAGCGTACCTGCGCTGCAGCTCATCCTCCAGGAACGCCTTCAGCTTGGCGAACCCTATCTGCGCGCCGTACTTGCGCTCGTCAAACCCCCCCGCCACCTCCGTGCGCAGGAACTGCAGCACTGCCGCGTCCACCTCCGCTATCTGCCGCCGCAGCTGAGCACTCTCCTGCACTCCCTCACTCGCACCCCCGTCCCTCCCCGTGCTGCCAGTGGTACCAGCACCCGCTGTGCTTTTCTCCCTGTCCCTATCCCTGTCCTTGTCCCTGTCCTTGGTGTCCTTGGGCAGTGCGATGAAGAAGGGGCCTCGCAGGGGCGCCAGGGGGACGCCGCCAGCGCTGCCAGGGCTCACAAACCCCTGGGAGGCAGGGACAGGCCTGGGAGACACGAATGGCGAGGCAGAAGCAGCAGTGGCAGCAGCAGTGGCAGCAGCAGTGGCAGCAGCAGTGGTAGTAGCAGGGGAGGGCGAGGAGGCGGAGTGGAAGTACCCTCCTGTGCTGAGGTAGCGGTCCACCTCCCACCTCTCTGAGAACTCCTGCTCGCACACAACACAACGGGGTGATGAGCGGCGGAGATACTCAACGAGCAGCATCTCACAGGGGATGCTCCGCAAATAGCATGTCCTTTCCCGGGCCTCACCTTGAGGCGGTTATCGAACTTGGAGGCGACAATGACAGTGCGGCGCAGCTGGGGGTCAGCCCGGCGCACCATGTCGAGCCAGAGCGAGGAGCACCACTCCACGCTGCTCTGCTGCAGGAACACGATCAGGCGGTGCGGCGGCGCCATCAGCTCCACCACCATCGCCTCTATGTCCGCTGGGGTGCTCTCCGACTCGCCTCGCCTCGCCTGGCACGGAGGAGGAGAATCATGGGATGGACGGAAGGGTGTACTTGACACAAGCGCGCTGAGCCACACGTCGCTCCAGCCCAACAGCCTCTCATTCCTCTTCCCACTGGCCAACATGTACATCGCCCCTCCATTCACTACGCGCCATCCCGCCCCAGAGCCCCGCCCCCGTCCACACCTGCCATGCGCACCTTGAGGATGAACCCGGGAGTGTCGATGAGCGTGAGCGACGCGCAGAAGGCATACTCCACGCGCATCACGATGGGCTTCGCGCTCACTATGGGCCCTCTCCCCCGCGCCGCCTCGCCGCCACCGCTCGCGCCTGCGGAGCCTGCCGCCGGCGCTCCACTGGTGGCCTGGCGCAGCGAGAGGAGGTGGTCGTGTGTGCGCTGCTTGAGCGCCGCCGCCACCGAGGACAGCGGGTGCAGCACGGGGCCGTACGCGTCGGAGTGCTCGTCCTGGGAGGGGAAGAGACAGAGATGGCATGGACGACGCTCAGGGCCGCCGCTAGCGGAAGATACTCTGAATCGTGGCTAGGATCCGCGTCTACACGGGGAAATGTGCATGCTAGTGAGGTAAGCACATGGAGGGAGTCTACACGGATTCTGTTTGTGAGGGTGCGGGGATCGCACCTGCAGGCGGCAAAGCGGTTGCAGAGCGTCGGGGCGATGCATCATCTGCAGGATGAGGGGGCGACGGGTGCCCATCTCCACCTCGCGGATGTTGAAACGGAAACCTGCAGCCGTACATGGCGAGGGCTAGCATACTTGAAAGTGCGAACGGGTGCAACTTTCCTGTCAAAAATAACACACACTTGTACGGCATTTGCACCTCAGTCTACTAGAATCTCGCCAATTGCTCCTAGCTGCCTCTTTTTCCTCTGTCACTGCCGCCGCCACTTGACAATCTCGCTGCAAATCCCGTTAATCAGCGCGTCTCCCATCCTATGTCGTCATAGGTCGTCATAGGTCGTCATAGGTCGTCATAGGTCGTCATAGGTCGTCATAGATCGTCATATGTCGTCATAGGTCGTCATAGGTCGTCATAGATCGTCATAGGTCGTCATAAGTCGTCATAGGTCGTCATAGATCGTCATAGGTCGTCATGAGTCGTCATAGGTCGTCATAGAGCGTCATAGGTCGTCATAAGTCGTCATAGGTCGTCATAAGTCGTCATAGGTCGTCATAGATCGTCATAGGTCGTCATAGATCGTCATAGGTCGTCATAGGTCGTCATAAGTCGTCATAGGTCGTCAGAGATCGTCATAGGTCGTCATAGGTCGTCATAGATCGTCATAGGTCGTCATAGATCGTCATAGATCGTCATAGGTCGTCATAGGACGTCATAGGTCGTCATAGCACGTCATAGGACGTCATAGGTCGTCATAGGTCGTCATAGGTCGTCATCTGTCGTCATAGGACGTCAAATGTCGTCATCTGTCGTCATAGGACGTCATACGTCGTCATCTGTCACATCTGTCGTATCTGTCGTCCAAATGTCGCCAATTCCTAGCCTGCTCACCCAGCAAGGCTTCGAGGAGCGAGCTCTTGCCGTCTGATTGCCCGCCGACCACCACAATCTCCGGCAGCGGTAGTTGCTCGCCGAACGCCACTGCGCACGACTGCAGACGACTGGAGAACAGAAAAAAAAAACAAAATGAACGATGACATTGTGAAGTGTTGACTATTCGCAGTAGAACAATTCAGTTGACGTGACAAAAAGACCAGATCCGAAGAGCATGAATGGGCTTATGGGAAGGCTGATCAGAAGACATTTGGTTCTTAACGAACCAGTGACACGACAACATTCTAAAATGCGTCTAATCAGCGTTTCAAGGCAATATCGACACATTATAGTTGCTTAGTATGGCCACAATAAGTCTACTTGTTATAATCATGAACCAGGCAATCATTTCCCATCCTAAGATTCCCATCGTGACGGCGGCGATACCTGTACGCCTCGAATCGTGCTCTGCGCTGAGGGTCGTTGTAAATGGCGGCTTCCAAGCGCCCGGCGGAAGCTTCACCAAGCGAGGAGGATGTAGGGAGAAGATGAGAGGTCATGGTTGATAAGACTACTGGTGCTGGCGAACCAACGGTGGATCAGTGGTCGCACCTTGAAGTAACTAATTTCACGATAAAAAAAGTATACCTCGACAAAATATAGCTAAGAATCGGCAGTCAAGCGAGCGACAAAGGTCAGGCGAGATCGCATTTTCCTGGATCAATGTAATGGTGAAGTAAATTGAGGAAACTGCTCGAAGAATGTAATTGCCGGAGGAATAGAAAAGCTATTCTCAAGAAATGAGCGGTTTTGGCCTTATCGCTGGGAAGCTCTTGGGACTAGTGCGGTGTAGCAGATCGAGCGATGGCTGGGGAAGGGGTGGCGGTGGTGGTGTGGTGTCTGCGTGACGCTTTCAATCAAGCAAGCAGATTCTCCGCCGTCCGATCATTGCGCTGACAAACCCAAGGGGTTGCCAGGTTCGAGTTCAAGTTTCTGACAAGATCCTCGATTCCCGCCAACATTGGCTTCGTCAGGGGGGGCCGTGGATTAGTCTGAGACAATAGAGTTGTAAGGAATTACAATTCCTTACTGTACTCGCATTTTAGCGAGTACAATCCGAACACCACGCGTCAGCCCGGTTCGGCCTACAATTCCGCCCCGAACCACTTCCGAGTCGCCACCGCTCCAATCGCAACACTTTCCGAGCCATCCTAGCCCGAACCCTTCGCCTAGCTAGGATTCCTCTTGTAAATTCCCGTCACTTCATTGTATCGTAATTCAGCAGTCATTCATTCTCGATATTCGTTTTACTGCGCACTCTGCAAGTTCATTCATAACACCTGGTATCAGAGCTACTTTCCTAGCCTACCCCGCTTTTTAGAGTGTATTACCCCTCGGGGGGGGGGACGAGGAAGGATGCCTTGGGGTCCAGAAGTTGAGTAGGCCGGCCAAGAGAACGGGTTAGTTGCTCTTCGCGGCCATGGATTTTTAGTGCACTCCTCGGCACCGCCAGATCCTTGCCTTCGACGGTCGCGATCGACCGTGGCCTCCCTCCCCCCGGGCAACGGACAGCTGGAGCTGTCGCGACGTTGAAAACGTAAGTTATTTCCGCTGCGTCGCGACGATTTCGGAGTTATTTTCGTGTGGCAGCTGGCGTCAGCGGATCTGCGTCGGCACCTGCACGAAATTTTCGGAGTCGTCGTCCTGTGCGGCAGTTGGCGTGGTTGTTCGTCAACGTGCACGCGAGATTTTCGGAAGAATCTACTGTGGAGACGAAGAAAAAAGCAAGGGACACTATTAGGACTCGCCAGGCGCTAAAGTAACTGCGTCGGAAAAAGTTTGTGACGAGGAGAGACGCCACGACGACTGCCCGACTATTGCGGGAGTCAACTGCCGTCCCGCCCGACCGTTTAAGTGCAGCGGCTTTTACTGCATGGCGGGCGCGTCACCGACGATTTCGGCAGGAGCGCATGTGGACAGACGGGACTTCATACCCGCCGACACTTACGGGCTGCAACGAAAAACCGGAGTGGCTAAATCGCGCTCAATAGGAGTGGGACGTAGGCGGCGAGGGCAATTCGGGCCCATACACCCCGAAGAAATCTCGCATGACGCTGCGTGCCTGGTACTGTTGACAGCTGGCCGGCCGTTTCGAGAGTGGTTTCCCTGTAAGGAACACATTTTCGGGGACAACTGCAGCAGCCCACGGTTAAACGGCGTTCAAATACCACCCCGACATTTACGGCGGAGAGTGGTAAGGCCACCGGGATATACGGACAGAAACTGCCCGACGGCTAAGCGGGGGTTGGAGAACGATGAAGGGAGCAGGTTAAAAGCCGGTGGGAACGATCTGCCGCCCTCCGTCGCCCGAACCTCACCATCCCCACCAAGTCTTGGTTCCGGCTCATGCAGCCGACCTGACCTGGCCGAATAACGGGGGTAAACACGTACCTACCCGGTGCTGGTTAAAGGCACCTGGTTTGGTGCTCGTTCGACAGCTGTACGAAAATACCAAAAAAAAAGGGGAGTTCGCGGCACTGTTCTACCCCGACAAAAGCGGGCTGGGTGAACGGCACGCGAAAAAGTCGGGGAGCTGCGACGAAAACAGCGGTGCAGTCTACTGTTTCCTCCTGACCCGAGCGTCTACTCGGATTGACGGCGCAGCGGCGAAGTTGGGACCCGGTAGCAGTGGAGCTAGGTGGTGTCAGAATATTATGCTCTAGCCTGTAGTGGGGTGCTCTATAGCGAGTACAACCCTTCTAGGGTTTGCTATTTGTATCCCCATTCTTGCTAGTGCAAACCCTCCTTTGCTCATTTCTCTCTTGCCTAGCTAGGGTTTACCTAGCTATGGCTCATGATTCTAGCTCCTATTTTGACATGCTATCAGAGCGGTTACGCTCCTGGCCTGTGGGCCCGCCTGCTTCCGCTGCCTTCCTGTGTGTCGCGCGTCCCGTGGCGCGCGATGTTCGGAGCGCGCGGCGGTTTCCCACCGTCGAAGCGCCCCCCGTCGCCCGTCGAAGCGCTCCCCCCCGTCGCCCGTCGAAGCGCCCCCGTCGCCCGTCGGAGCGCCCCCCGTCGCCCGTCGAAACGCCCCCGTCGCCCGTCGAAGCGCCCCTGGGACCCGCGCGCGGCCCGTACGGGCTGCGCCAGGCCCGCGCGCGGCCCGTACGGGCTGCGCCAGGCCCGCGCGCGGCCCGTACAGCCCGCGCGCGGCCCGTACGGCCTGCGCCAGGCCCGCGCGCGGCCCGTACGGGCTGCGCCAGGCCCGCGCGCGGCCCGGGCAGCCCGCGCGCGCCTCGTCCGGCCTGCGGCAGGCCCGTGCGCGCGCCTCGTCCGTCCCCCGAGCTTCTGCCGGCGCCCCACCCCCGCTACTGCCCGCGTTCCTGTGTTAGGGTTTGGGGGTGGAGGGTATGGGGGTGCCGTGAGTGTGAGCCGTCCCCTGCTCCTCCTCCTCCGTCTCCCACTGCTGCAGCTGCCGCTGAGGGGGGTGGGTGTGTGGGGAGCCGAAGGAGTGGTGCTGGTTAGAGGGGTGACGTGGGAGTGGAGTTAGGGGTTGCAGCAGGGGGTGTGTGTTGGGGGGTGTGGGACAGTTGGAGGAGGTTGGGTGGAGGCAGCCGTCG